AGTGTTTTCTATTTTGCTTGTCTCGTCAGTTTTCTGCTGGTGAACAGCGTGGCCCTTCACGGCGACGGGTGCCCCATCTGCCAGTCGGTGGAGAAGGAGTTGATCAAACTCTCCAGAGACCTCAACTGTTCTCTTCAGGTGGGGGAGAACATTTCTTGAAAGTTGGTTCGCTCACTTTCAGGCTGTCTGCACCTGAAATGCACTCTGCTGCTCGTGTAGCGTGAAAGACTCAAGTCAAGTGGGGAAGAAGGGGGGGGAAAAACCCACTTCTATCCAAAGCTCAGTGTACCTGGAGCCGGTGTTTTGTTGTTTTTAAACATTGTTCGAAGACATTCAACGTGGTGGCTGATTGCTTTTCTTGTGGAGGGGTACGAAATAAAAATGATGTTTGAGGACATATTGTAAAAGAAGACAGCCCCGTAACTCTTTGTCGTCTTTTCTGCAGAGTTCACAGTCGGGCGGCGGAGTGACGGACAGCTGTGAGGTCGCGCAGCTCTACCCTCCCACCCCCCCCATCATGTTACAGGTAACCTGCAGGTGCACTCTGCGTGTTTTCTCTCTTCCTGTCTGAAAACTTAAAGTAGAGGAGGAAGCTCTAGAATTAGTGCTGAATTGATTACTTGCTTGAAGGATAAGTCTGTCTTGATAATCACAAACTCAAATGTACATTTAAAGATTAATGTGTTCATCCTCGCTGCCCTTGAAGTGACTCTTTCACTATTTTGTGTGTCTTCCGAAGTTACTGACTTCTTAGTTGGGGTAGTTGGGATAGTCACAGAAAGAAAATAATTTCTCACTAAAAGAACACCTACTAAATAGAATCCACTCTGCTGAAGCCTCAATTTATCTCCGTGGATTTTGTCTCCCATCATTTACATGAGACGCATCTCTTCACAGCCAGTATGGACAGGATGAGAGAGCAGCGACCAGTAACTGTTTCAACACACGAGCATGTGAATATTATGTGAAGGCAGACTTAAACATTCCTACTGCTTTAAACAGATTAACACAGCTTCTTGGGTGCTTGTGTGTTGTTTTAGCATGTTTTTTGGACTAAACTATCCCAGGACCTTTGCTGCTCATAAACTCTTGTTAATCTTCTTCCATTTTTTTTTTTTTTTTAAAACATCATTTTAGATTAAAACTAATAAAAAGGTACTCATTTCCATGTTCTCCTCGTCCTCCAGCACTATCCTCTGTTCAGAGTGAGCGATGCCGGCTGCACAGGACTGGATGCTGCACCGCCTGAAGAGCGACACCTGCTGTTCAGAGAGAAGTACGACGTGCTGTCTAAGGAGGCCTCACAGAGGGTGAGTACACTGCAGTCTCATCACACAGACTCTATTGTGGGGTTTTATTTTCCTGGATCTCGGTTTCATCCAATTAAAACACAGCACAGCGGCCTGCTGTCAGAAACAGTCCTGTATAGAAACCGCAGATGAGGATGATGATGATGATGATGATGAAACTGGTGATGTAAGCGAGCAGCAACCGGCCTCTGAGGTACATGTGGGATTTCTGTCCTCAGCTGCTGCAGTGGTTTAAGCCCCGCCTCATCCTGAGTGGACACACCCACAGCGGATGTGAGGTTCTCCATGACAGCAAGTACCCAGAAGTCAGCGTGCCATCCTTCAGCTGGAGGAACAGAAACAACCCCAGCTTCATCCTGGTGAGTAGCATCAACATCTGGAGAGTCCTGCTCTGTTATTTAGAGACGATGCAGACGAATGATGGTGGATGATAGTGTGGGTGACATCAATCTTTGTGTGGAAAAATAACACTTGAATTTATTTAAGCAGCTATAATCAACATTTGTATAGTGACTAAGTAAAAGGAGGTCTACTCGGTGAATTATCACCTGAGTTTCAGCTCAACTTCTTGCACCGCTCTCATAACGTCGTTCAGTACTGTTACGCCTTAACATTGAACAGGAATGGCGAAGACATTGAAATAGTGACTCTGCTAGCAAATTGATTCTTGACAATTATTCATTTTTAGATTAATTGTTTGTCGGCTGCGTGTTTGTTATCTGCGTGTTTGTTATTGTGGCACAATATTTGGACTAAACACTCCCAGGATCTTTGCGCCACATCCCTCATGTCAGTCTTCTTTATTTTGACCTAACGGAACTGCAAAACATGATTTCAAAATAAAAGTAAGCCAGATATTTCCCAGATAGACTTGGGGACAGTTTTCTGAGCACTTTAAGAACTTCTTGTTCATATTGTAATATGAATATCTGCAATTATAATGTGATATCAAAGCTCCAGAACGGCTACAAATGGAACTTGTGGTGAGATTTATTTTTTGTGTTCTATGAACACAAAACACAAAATGTGTTATTATGCCAACATTTTGAATAGCACCATGTAATTGTGTTAAACACTGATTATCACCTCAAACACATTCATCCTCCTCGTCTCCTCCTCTCAGGCGTCGGTGTCACCCGGCAGCTACGCTCTGTCCAAGTGCTTCCTGCCGGAGGAGAGCACGGTGATCGGCATCTACTGCTCGGCCGGCGCCTGCATGCTGCTGCTGTTCCTGGCTCACTGTCTGTGGATGAAAGGCCTGCTGCAGTGTCTCAGCCTCTGCCTGCTGGGGAAGCACAAGTCTATGTGAACTACGACACCCAGAGCGCACCGGGACAGAGCCACGAGACTAGAGTACATTTGGACTCGGTAAATACTAGATGTGACGTTCTCTCCCTCTCTTCAGAACGGGACGAAAATCTGTTCGTGCAACCTCGATTCGTTTGTCCAAATGTTTTACGGCGCTGTGAAGGAGTGTATGTTTTAAATGTCTTAAAGGGACTATCACTTCGGATATTGATGATGTGATGATGGCCTGCGGTGACAAAACATATGTTGGACCAAATTGTTGTTACAAATCATCACTGGTGTTTGTTTTACCTTCCGTGGGAGTGCCAGACGGATGGAGCTCACGAAAAGGAAGCTTTTCAATCACAGAAAAGTAACCGTCACTGACTTTACAACAGTTTTCCTGTGACTGGCTGAGTTATTAGAAAACACACGCACACACACACACAGGCGTGACATTGAGTAAGACAATTCAAATGAGTACATATTTAAATACCAACTGTCTCTGGTCTGGTGTGAAGGTGGTAAAGTCAGACTTATGTCTCTTCACTCTGTTAACTGTGATCCGATGTAAACACACTGATCATCTCACACTCTGAACACTGTTTGTTTCTGTTGTCGATGTCTGATAATTCATCCAGGTTTCTCGCTGTTTTTATGATGCATATGTGAATATATTTATTGCTGACTTTCTGTGCCAAATGTTTGTGAGGGTCTTTGCCAAGTTGTTGAACCATTTCTGATGAACTGTAAATAAGAAATAAGAATCTAAAGCTCTGTTTCTAGAGAGTTGTGGTTTAGACTAGAGGTTGATAATCAATATTAGATGTACGACCAATCACCTGAAGCCATGTCACTCAATGGATGAATACAAAATATCACGGGATGTTCTTTACACGGTCGACTTTTCAAAACCAGGAATTGGCTTCAGAGATGGACACAACGTTATGATTGTAGAAATTAATGTGATTGAAACACAAAATCATGTCAAATAAAGAAAGTTGTAAAAGAAGCAAAACATATTGGGGACATCTTCCTGACACAGTTCACATTTGACTCTGCTTCTATTTCGTCTATTTACTTTTTGGACAATATGAAGCCGTTTACTGAGAGACGACATTTGTAGACTATCTGGGATTTTATGACGCGGCGACGCTCACTGTAACATATATGTGCGTTTTTAAGGTAACATTTTGTAATGTTGCAAGCAATGTTTGATTTTAAATGATTTTTGGTACCTTGATTTGTCCGGTGTTTAAATAACAGGATTCTTCTACATCCACAAATTGGGAAAATGCAGTTTCTGGTTGAGCAACTGTCCAAAAGAAAAAAAGAATATTTACATCTACTAAATTTAAAGTGACATAAAAACAGAATCCTGACATTTGAGAAGCTCGATTTAAAAAAAATTGTCACCAAATAATTTTCTGTCAATCAACTAACTGATTTATCAAATAATAGTCTCAGAAAACAACCGTCTAGTTCTCAATTCATTTTTGGAAAATTGATGACACATATAGACATTTTTGTGATGCATCCATATTGTCCACTCCTGATCTTTGTTGCTGCTGTGACAGATTTAATCTTGACAATCAGTCGGAGTGAAGGAACATTTTCTACATTCAGTTTCGCTGAAGTGACGTTCCCTGTATCAGGAGGGAAGTAATAAAACGTACAACCTTAACTTTTTCAAAGTATAATCCCTGGTTTAAAAAAAACAAATCAGACCACAATCTGCACCAAAGACCCTGAACACCGGAGGTACCACACAGGTGATCTACTGCGCTTGATTAGACATCTCCCTGACTCTCCTGTTGGCTTTACTGCACCTGAAACTACATTTTTATCATATAATGTACAAGAAGCACTGCGACTAATCCCCAGCGCACAGCAGCTCCGACCACCTTTAACTTGTGCCGACGTCTAATCGGAGAGAAACTCAAAACACCTGCGAGGAGCCTTTAGATCAGAATAACCAAACTGTATACATCGTGATATATCAGGACATGTCAAGAGGCCTTTTTCCCCACAGGCGAATATAATAAAATGAAAGATAGTTTGAATCCATTTAGCTGCTTCAGTTTCAGGGTCCTGGTATTGTGCATGCTGGCTCACTGTCACTGCTTTCAGGGGATAAAATGGAGCCAGCTTTAATGTTATTTGTAAAAACCTGTGCTTTCCCTACTCTGACAAGTCTAAATGTCAAAAAGTGAAAAAAGGCCTATGTTTATACCAAAACAATTCTGCTAAAACCACAGTAAAGATACTGCGTGTACCCAGCCCTCCTCACCCACATACTACTTCTACTGCGCGTATGACCCCCTCCACTCCACTGACGCATCCACCAAAACAAAAGAACTCAGTGGAAACAAATCTGGACACCAAGATGGAAATAAAGCAAAGTCCTCTAATGTGCCTCTTTATTTAAAGAAAATAAAAATGTCATTTAATCATCCTCCCAGGCCAAACAAGGTTTTTGCACCTCCAGTCAGTTCACTCTCTTTTGGGGATAGACGTGTACTGTAGCAGAAGAAAAGGCTGATGCTGTTTGTACAAGGAGAAGAGCTTGTCTTGTTGGGTGCTGCTCACACATTCATAGTGCCTGTGCCATTGGGTATGGCTCCAAAGGACCAAAGAATTACTAATATTGCACGCTCTCATTTATTCATCTCCATTCTAAACATGCTTTCCTATGTGTGTATGTATACATATTTACCGTATACATACATAGGTATGTACACCTAGGCACACACATAATTAAACATGTATAATTGTACATATATATTTATATAGACCTATAAATTTACATGTACATACATTTATAAAATTTTACACACAACGCACACTCGCCCCTCACATACACACATACACACAATGCGTCTGTGAGTCTATGTTTGTTTTATGTACACATGCGCACAGGCACGCACATCAGTACAGATCTCAGACACACTTCATATCGAAAAAACGTTGGTTCCTATTAAAACAACACCAGGTTGCAATTTGGACACTTTCAATGGATTTCCAATGTTTGTTTAAAGCTGTGAAATTCAAAAGAAAGAAAAAGGAGGAAAAAGAAAACCGAAAAAGAAAAAAGAAAAACAAAAGGCATGGCGCTGCAACATCTGGTCTTCACTGCAGGTAAGTGGTTAATTTGCATAATGTATACAGGTTTTTAGGATTTTTTCCCTATTTTTTATTTTTTACTAAACAGCATTTCCTTTTTTTTTTTATAAACCAGAAAAAACTAAACTCTACAGAGAAAGTCCCCTACCCGCAGTCTTCCGCTGCTGATAGAGATTGACATCAAGCTGTACAGCGCAGTCGAAAACATACTTACATCTGAGCTCATTTACAGGTACAGCCATAATCAAGGCACAAAGATCTACAAGTAGATTTGTTTTTCTTTCAATTAAGTTGTACAAAATAATATTACATTTTACAGTCTGTACAGGATAATTCAACCTTGCACAGTGTACAAGTTAACAAAAAAAAAAAAAAATAAAATAAGAGAACAATACGTTTTTCTCTCCCGTCCCTCTACCACCCTCCCCTCCCATCGGTATTTCTATGCTAAAAGGATGGTTTGTGTGGAAAAAGGAGGCCGGTCCGAGTCCGTGGAGGCAGCAGGGCTAAGGTGCAGAGAGCTCAGTCCCTTTTCCTTCATTTAAATCCTTCTTCGTGTCGTTCCTGCCCCACTCCCACTTTAATCTTTCGCTCCGCATGTCTCTCGGCCGCTCGGTGCACCCTGCAGCTCGGCAAGCTAACATCGTGACAGGGTAATAAATATTGTGATGCTACATTGTGTGTATGCTTCCTCTGGAAAAAAAAAAAAAAAAAAAAAAAGAAGTTATTAAGGAACCTGATGCAAAGTGCATTTATCTCTTCATCCATTCGGTTCCCCTCCGTCCTCTCCCGTTGCTCTCCGGTGTCGTCCAGTCGTCTCCCACACGGAGAGAAGAAGCGGCTCAGAGGGGGTGACGGGGCAAAAAAAATTTAAAAAGGGGGGCAAAGGTGATGGTGGCGATGCCAGCTTTAACCGGCAGGTGACACACAAACATAACAAAACACACACACACTCACACACACACACACTCGCTCACATGGCATTCCTCCTGCTCTTCATCTCACACACACACTGCCTCTACACTGAGGTCCTGTAGGTGTGTTTTTATGTATCCACACCCACCAGTCCAGGTCCAATGACAAAGCCAAAAAAACAACAACAGAAGGACACAAAGGGGCAAAAAAAAAAAGAAAAGGAGGTAGCCCAAGGCTTAGTGGAATGACAAAAAATCAAGGCATTCAAAAGGAAGGATTAAAAGAAAAAGAAGAAAACAAGAAGCGGCACGCAACAACTTTGTTCCCCAACCTTCCTCTCACAATCGGTGAAATGGGGATGAATCGGTCTCAGAGAGAGAGAGAGAGAGAGAGAGAGAGAGAGAGAGAGAGAGAGAGAAAAAAAAGAGAAGTACAAAATGCTAAGAAGTTAAGAAGAGGAAGAGGATTTGACACACTTCAGTAGTACTTCATAGTCCTCGACAGGAGGGGTGGTCAGGGGGTTGTTGAGGGTTTCTCTGGGGGGAGGAGGGGGGAGGAGTAAGGATGAAGGAGGAGGAGGAAGAGAAGGAAGGGTTCGTCAAGGATGCAGAATGATGGAGAAAAACACAGAAGGCTGACGGAGGCGGTCTCCCATCACAAGAGTTCGTACTGCCGCAGGTGCATTCTCTGGATGATGTCCCGGCAGTCGTTGAACACCCGCCGGATGTTCTCTGTGTCCACGGCGCAGGTGAAGTGGGGGTAGCAGTAATGTCTGCCGTCGCCACTCGCAGTGCTGATCCGCTGAGGAGAAGAGACAGAAGACTTTAAGAGGGAGGAAATAGAATTTGAAACCCCTTTCTACCTTTAACTGGTCTCTGAATTCCTTTAATCCTCAGGTGTGCTGCTCTGTATGAAATAAAACCACTTCCTGTCTCTGTAACTTCAACTTCTCAATGAGTTTTTTTTACCAACAATGCCAACCAAACCGTATCATTTAAGAAGATTGTTTTCAGGATATCCACTTGGTCTTTATAAAGCTGAGCTGGTGTTATTCTGCTGCAGCGGACTAGATACAGTGCACACAGGATGACTGTTGTGAGGCCGCATTAATCTGAGTTTGTTGCAGTACAAATAATTCTTCAGTATCCAAACACAGGTACACAGTTGCAGCTAGCCAACCCTTCTACTGTCCCTACTAGTAAGTGAGATAACTGACCTCCAGGGCCAAAAAAGGCAGCCCTATATTAGACTAAATTAAGCCAATGTTGGTTATTCAGCTAAATCACAAGGGCCATTATTTTTAAATTATGAAAGAAAAACAACAAGACACCGGACAACTCATGAAAGGAAAGAAGGGGGACTTGTGATTAAATGTCTTGAAAGAGTTTGTTCTTGACCTTACAACATAGGGGGGGGGGGGGGTTGCGATGACTGGGACACTTAAAGCGAGGACATGAGGGCAATAGACAAGAGAATGACAAACAAGGAGGTAGTTGTCGATGCCTTTTGTCATATATACGGATCATATATAGTTATTAATTGGATGTGAAGTTGATTTGAGAACGGTTTACTTCACATACAGTAGGTGAAATACACCCAGCTCGATGAACGGTGTGGAGAAGGCTGTCCACTGTGGTTGGGTCCTTGTGTACAAACAGGAAGTGAAACATCATAAACCACAATGTTACATCGCCCCAGAGTGGTGGGAGGACACCATTGTTCAACTCCAGGGCTCCCTGGCATGCACTGACTGGAGCATTTTCAATGGAGATCTGAATGATATGGTTTCTGTCATTACAGATTATATAAACGTCTACATAAACAGCACCATTCAAGTTAAGAGGATAAAAAACAACAACCTTGGATTACTCCCCAAATAAAACAGAGCCAGAGGGAGAAGGTTCAAAGCCTTTAGGCTCAAAGACTGGGCTCGCCTCAAAAATGGCAGATCGGCGAATAAAAATGTGGTGTTCAGGGAAAAACTGAAATCCAGAGACGAATTTGAATTCGGCAATATGAACACCAAGCAGGCATTTCAGAGCTTGAACCACTAAATGGGTGTGAACACAAACCCAACCTGTGTGCTGTAAGCGACCCAGAATCCTGTGCAAAAGAATTTCAGTACATTCTACGCCGGCTTTGACAGCCTGGATAAGAGGAGCACAGATGATGCTGCACCTCCTCCTCCTGTTAGGATCCTTCCCACAGACAACCGCTCTGCTCTGGACTATCACAGCACAGTTGAACACTTCACCCAGTGGTGCGAGGGTCACCATCTTCACTTTAATGTCAGCAAAGCAAAGCATCTCATCATCATCATCATCATCATCTGAAGACATCAAAAAAGGAGCCATCAAAGACTATCAGCCAAACTTAAAAAGACTCTATGTTGCCCCCCCATCCCCTCCTGTATCAGAGCAACATTCAGCCCATTCTACTCTACTGTTCCACCTCCATCTTTAACATGTTGTCACTTATTAAACGGGCCAAACTCGCGTGCACAACCAACAACACTGCCAGGATCATTGGGCTCCCCACAGTATACCTCACAGAGCTATACAATGAGGCCGTTGCTCGCATTGCAACCTCAGTAAAAAAAAAAAAAAAAAAAAGGACACCACACACCCACTCAATCACCACCTCACCCTCCTGCCCTCCAGGCGCAAGTACAGAGCACTCAGGTGCAGAAGGACTCGCTTTTGGAAAAAGCCTGTCCCCAAACAAAATGTTTTACCCGTCACGTGCAATGTTTATCAACGACGGTGTTTCAGAAACATGGACGGCGCTATTTGTGTGTCGAGGGTGCAGCGTGTAGGCGCGGAGGAGATCGATAGGCAAACAAGACACAACATGGTTCCTTAGTTCGGGTACTTAGCCTGCTGTCTTACAGAGACAGAGAGTTTCTATTTGTCAAACAGCTGATTTTGACAGCGAATCATTCATAAATTCAAAACATATCTAGCACTCTGCTAGTGCTGCTACGTAAATGCTCTGATTACTGAATGTATTTTGAAACAATAGCGTTATGTTGTTGTTATTGCCTGGTAATTGTTAACACCGAATCACAATGCTCTATCTACTTAATACTCGTAAATCAGTAATAGAGGCCTACATGTGTTTGAATCCCCCTCTGTGTGCCTTAAGTTTATGGCTGATGCTTGTTACGGCTGGACATCCGTCGACTTCATCCCACTTTAAAACAGTCTAAACTTACAGACGTATACTTACAAGAAACTCGTCTCGGATGAAGAACTTAGCTCTCGTCACTCTTGGGTCTTCACCAGGTTCAGGAGTTGCTAAAAGAACCACAGATTGAGAGTTTAACATTAACCGACGTAAAGAGGAACTCCATTAGCACGTTGGGTGTCTCAGCGGGCCACAAACCTTCATTTGGTATGGTGTAGCGAGCATATTCGGGGAAGTAGTCTTCAATTTTGGATTTTCCAGCTAATACTTTCTCAGCCAGCATGTCCTGCTTGTTCAGGAATAATATGACCGATATAGTGCGTAACCATCTGAAAAACAAGAGAAGAGACATTAAAGAAACGCTGTTGTGTATAAAGAGGGGGGAACGATAGGAATGTCAGCTATTACACAGAATATTTAGGTGTTTCTGATTTTTGGAAGTAAAACTTAAAATTAGACCACCGTTATCTAATTTGCTCAAAGAAAGTCAAGAGATAGAACTACGGGTCACTTGAACATCAGTTCAGTTTCTATGACACACGGCAGTGTTGATAATGAAAACATGAAAATATGTTGATTCAGGGAGGTGTTTTTATGTTGTCATTAGCAATTGTGAGAGTAAAGAGCCGACAGGAAATAAGGAGCAATCATTAATGATTAAACTGGGCAATAAATGCGTTACATGCGTTACGCCACTGTCGGCTGTAATGACCAAAATAAACATTCTGCTCACCCTCACCCATCACTGCCTGACATTATAAATACAAATTCATTGTATTTGGGGTCATATTTTCTCACCGCATGCTTCAGAGCAGCTACTGGGGTAGCTTGTCTCTCTCTTCACTCTTCTCCTCTTAAAACCTGATAGATTTCGTGTCACTGCATGCGAGGGAACGTGAGCTCGTCTCCACCTGAAGATGCATCGTGACTGACGCGTGGACATTTAAATGTAACTAGTCTTTGACATTATGTTTGAATTACTATGTTTTTTTTGTGAATTCTTGAGAACATTTAGATTTCAAAATAACTAGCTTTGTAAATCACCCCCTAAAAATATATTTTATTATATAATTTAAGCAAGAAAGGGATAACACAGCAGGGAAAGGACCCAACGCGAGAATTCACCACTGGGCTCAAACTTCATTCATGTTTCTGACTCACCTGTTGTTCCAAATACTGCGGAAGAGGTCCAGGGCTTCCCGTAGCCTGTTGGTGTTATTGTCTTCCCTTATTACCATGTTGTAGCTGCTGCTGGCCACCACGAAGATGATAGCAGTGACGTCTAGAAGGAGAGGAGAGGGACTACTATCAGGACAGCTTTGTGACGTCACATGTGAGGAGGGATAACCCAAACAATAAGAGCTGGCAGAAAATATTTCTGTGACAGGAGGTGAATGTGTTGTACAGCGAGGCTATTTGAAGACGATCAAGAACAGAAAAGGCTGAAAGTCTCACCGTTAAAGCACTGGATCCATTTTCTCCTTTCATCTCTCTGGCCTCCAACATCAAACATGCTATGGAGGAGACAAAATACTGGGTCAGACTCACAACAACACGTTCACTGTTGCCCTCTTTAATCACAGAGTTTCTAGTGGGACGTCAGGTACATGTTGTACTGCAGTTGGCCGGCCTGAGAACGTTTACGAGCCAGTTTTATTTTTAATAATTATTCGTTTGTTGGATGATCACAAAACATTTGTTTTTCGGCCTCGAGCTGAATCTGATCCTGATCTTAGGTCTGCTTTGCAAAATGAGATCGTAGATCCTAATGGGACGAGTCTGGGTACATGAATAAACAATTGATTAATAAATAATATGAAGAACAGCATTATTTGCACATACTCGGTATCCTGTGCGACCCTGGCTGGATATTTGGAAGTCATCAAAGCTCAATAATGAAAAAGGGGGAAGTCATGTCCCAGGGCTTTTATATCAATCATTCAGCATGATATAATTTCATACAAAGGCCCATTTCAGATGGTAGAATACGTCTGTTGTGTCTGCAACTTTAGAAATGGGTCATCAACACTTATGAAACATTTACTTTTACTGGTTGCTCTACTGCAAATAATGTTCAAAACTTTCAACTGGCTCAGTCGACCACAGAGATTTCATTTTACATTTTAGGTAATGACATCAAGCTCCGCTTCCAGCCGCCGAGCAGGTCGGGGTTCAGCGCTTTGTTCATTATCGTTACGCGGTATGAACTTATGACATTTCAGATTTAACACAAGACCGAGGCGACACCCAAGATGGCAATGGTAAAACAGTGGTGCAAAAAGCAATCAAATGGTTTAAAAAGTGCATCATCTCATCAATGATTTGACAACAAATTATTTGCACAAACTGGAAACCGCCTGGAGAGCCTCCTTTTCAGGAATATGACAGAATTTTTAAATACACATCTTTAAAGGTCGCTTTATAAAAAAATAAAAATTTTTTAAAAAAATTAAAAAATTAAAAAATAAATTTAAAAAAAAAAAACTTAACAGCTTCCTTCCCATCTATATTCTGAAGGGTTTCACAGTGAGGTCTGTTCATATAGTATTCATAGCCTGATTAATGGAACTTTTACTATTGTTGACGGTATTTTCTGATGCTTGGAGTGACACAAAGCGATATTTAAAATTCCCTCTATAAAAACATTTGACTTTAACATGTCACCAAAATGAAACATGAATTTTGAACCTGGCTTTATCCAATGTTCAGATTTCTGGAAATTCATGCAAATAAGCACAAAATACTGCCTCATTTGCATATTTAGAGATACAATATTTACCCTTTTCACCTGTAGTGACTATCCTTAAGTGGGGCAGGAGGAAGCACTTGCACAACCGCTTTAGGACCTTCTCTTTTTTTATCCATTTCCAAGAAATCTACTTATTTTGGGAGACATTCTTGTTTCTGTTTTTGGCTGGAAGGATATTTCCAAGGATGGATATTTTTGATTTTCTGTGTTTGAAAATGGCTTTAATTTTCTCTGATTTACAGTACTAGTGTAATCTTGTACCATAAAAAAAAGTATGTTGTCACCCGATTTACGTTAGAGATGTGGTTTAAACTGGTACGAAAATACAGATTAGAAGAAGAGCTCAGGCTTCTACAATGGATAGCCTACAATAGACATTTTGTCCCGGGTACTCTCGATCTGAGGTTCAAACAATGGATTTCACACGGAATAACCGCATTGAAGACGGGAGTGTTGTGAGTTTCCAGGAGCTGAAAGACAAACACTCACTAAATAACCAGGACCATTTCAGATATCTGCAATTAAGGGACTTTTTCGACAGAGAAATAAAGCACAAAATGAACTTGGATAAAAATGGAATAATTAGAACCATAATAGGAGTTTACAACTCAAAGAAGTATAGAATCATTGACTATATATCAACACCTGATGGAAAAATTAGGAAATACAGCATTTTATGTAAAACTAAAATGGGAACAAGAACTTGGTGTGAATATTACAGCGGATGAATGGTTGAATATTTGGAGGACACAACAGTCTTCAACATCCTTGCGTACTTGGAGAGAACATTGTTGGAAGAATGTAATCAGATCCTTTATTACTCCCCAAATTACAAAGAAATGTCTGTCTGTTGTCCAGCCATGTTGGAGGAAATGTGGGGCCGTAAATGTAAACCACTCCCATGTATTTTGGCTATGTCCGGAAATTGCAGTTTTGGGGAAATGTCCATACGGTTATAGTCCAAATTCTGGGCTATGATATACCCAAGTCATGTATGTTTCTCTAGCAGCTTGTAAGAAGGCTATCACGAAGAGATGGCACAAGGCAGAACCACCATCACAAGATGGATGGCTGCAAATTGTGACTGAAATGTCTGATATGGAACTGTTAACTCAGAGAATAAGAGCTCAAGTGGAGCGATGTCGTGAGAAGTGGGAGAAATGGACGATGTTTACATGTCAACGATAACACAACCTGAATATTTCACAGGAGTCATCATGTTTTTGAAGAGAGAGCAATCCAGATCCTTTTTTTTTTGTTAATTTATTTTTTTGCGTGTATGTGTTGTCTGTCTGTGGTGAAAAGGCAAAACAAATAGTGTGAAAAAAAATGTCCTTATGTCCTTTTTGGGGCGATTACAAATGTATGTAGGCAGTCTTTTTCTGAAATCATCTAAACGTATAGAAGTTACTAACAAAGTACTTGGCAAATGAAAAATGAAATATGATTTGCTCTACATAATGGATGGAGCATGTCTTTGCAATAAAGAATTAACGACAACAAATTAAAAAGCAAAGGGAAAACATGTTTACATCATGTGTGTTTGATGTCTGAGCAACACTTACTGAAAGTTCACTTTGTCTACTTGGAACCTCGTCTCGAAAATCCCTGAAGTCAACACTCGGCAGCGTAGCAGGTCCTGTAGAACGTGGAGATGAAGACATATTCGATTCAGTAAAAAAAAACTTAAGACAAACAAGCTTTTGGAAGTGATTTCCAAAGTGTGAACTGTGCAGGATAATGGACTGACCTGGTCTGTTGGTGTGTAGTCGTTCTGTCTTACAGAGTCAATTCTGTCCAGGAAACTGCAACGACAGAAACAGTACAGACTAAGATTTTGCTGCGGGAACATGAAAGTTATTAAGATTCAACTCAATTAATTTTGGAAAGCCCAAAATCACAAATTTGCCTCAGAGGGCTTTACAATCTGGACACATGCGTCATCCTCTGTCCCGGGACCCTCACATTGGTACAGGAAAAACTCCACCAAAAATCCCAACACAATCTTATCTATTCATTTCAACCTCTCTCTTCAACTGCAATTGTCAAATCTGATCCCATGCCACAACTGTTCATTCATTAAACCTCTTGTGCTGCGTATGCTCAAACCGTCCTTTGGATGTTCATGTGAGCTGCACTGGATGCTGCTAAAGGCGGCCGCCATGTCTGACTGCCTGTAGAGGCTCGGTAGGCCGGTGTTTAGGCAGCTGGTTGCCACAAGAGGGCAGGGCTGCTCAGTCTGGGCTATTTTGGTCTGTCTCTAGCCAGAGTGATTACATAAGGCGGTTATTGTGGAGGTTAGACAGTTTGCTGTTGCCGTCTCTTCACTACTGAGAGAGAATGTGCAGCAGCAGCAGCGGCGGCAGAAGCAGCAGCAGCAGCAGCAGCTGGGCCTCTCTGCAGCACAGCAGGCTCAGGACACCGAGGCCCCTGGATGATCTGGATCACACAATCAAAGGGACTCCAACAATGCTGGTCGAAGGGCCACTATATATATGTATGTATGTATGTATGTATGCATGCATGCATGTGTATATACACACATACATACTTCTTTTTTTAACCTATTTTTTTTTTCAACCTTTATTTAGCCAGGATAATCCCATTGAGATTTTGAATCTCTTTTCGAAAGGGGTCCCGGCCAAGATGGCAGCATAAAAGCTTCACCACATAAAAACCCAGATAAAGAACAGAACAGCAAAGAGTTCAAATCTAAAATAGCCATTAAAAAAAACTCACGTAAAATGACGGCAGACTTAAAACAAACCAGCAAATTGCATCAATCGAGATGTTTTCATTCAGTGCTCAAAATGATCCTTCATGTCGTTTTTAAAATCTTGCACACTTATAAAATAATCTAGTTTTAAGTGTCTATAGTTCACACCAAGATGAAGGTCCAAAAACACCGTTTCTCCACATGATCGGAGGTTGCAGCTCGTGAGAAAAGGACATAGATAAGATAAGTGTAATATGGCCTTAAACAGGTAAATGTATTTAGATCTATGTTACTACACTGCTGTGGGACAAGCACTACACAGGTATTTAAGGTACATTATGACACATAATGCCTCCCCTTCTGTTACCTGAACTGACTTTTACTACAGGACCAGCAGCAGGCCACACTGGAGCTCCAAATTAGCCAGGGCCCGAAGCAAACATTTTGAGAATTGTAACAATTGTAAAATAAAATTGTAAATAAAACTACTCTGGAGAGAATGGTACAAATTAATAAAAATACACAGCAGAGGAAATAAAGGTGCGTCAGGTATTTGTGGAGCTTAAAGCTGAAGTGAATCCAGTATGTAGGACACAGATGTGGACCGTCTCATCACACTTAATGTTTTACTCAAACCGTCTGTAGCTTCAGGATGTCACCAGAAAAGTCAACATGGCGACAAGAAACCTGATGCACATACGATCAGTAAGTCAGGTTGTTTTGTATGGTTTCAGCCGGGGGGTTGGCCGTCAGTTCTTTTCTCAATTCAACCCCTAAAAGTAGCACAACCTAACACACAGCGGAGAACGAATGCTCTATTATGAACCATTAGATAACAGAGACAATGCTCATATGCTCCGACAACACTGTTTTCATCACACCGACGTTATTTCTGCCTCACACGGTCCACACAAACGCAGAAGTAAGGCTATTTCTGAAGGAGCACTAGACTTTCTCACACAGAGTACATGCGTCTACTGTTCCACCAGACATAAAGAAAGGTAGCATTGAACATGCATCTGCACGAGGAAATGTTATGCAAAAAGATATATTTCTTGTTTTTATTGGCTTGTTGATTTAGTATTTGCAATCTCACTAAAATGACAAATGCACGCTGCGTGTTACCACGGAGTAAAGTGTCATCTAAAAATTCTGTATTCATTATTTTAGTGCACGTAACATTATGTACTTATTAACCAGATCACGTGTGTGTGTGTGTGTGTGTGTGTGTGTGTGTGTGTGTGTGTGTGTGTGTGTGCCAAGTCAGTCTCCCCAGGCTGACCAGAGGTCTGATCCCGTAAGAAAAACTCCCACAATTCTCCACACCTGTCTTTAACTTACAAACGGACGTTTGGACACTTGTTACTTTATTTTTATTTCTATAAGACAATATGTATGAGAATGGAGTTTTTCCTTATTTGTCACCCGGCAATTATTTCATTAAACACCCAGTTTAACATGATTTCTGCTGACTCTAGTGGGCAGTAAGAACTAAATACAGCTGGTATTTAGTTATTCATTCATTGATTGTTTAACCTATAAAATGTCAAAAGATAGTGACACATGTCCACCACATTTCCTAAAATCCAAGCTTGCGTCATCAATTTGCTCATTATGGCCGGGTTAAACCTACAGATATTCAGTTTATCATCACATAAAACACAGAAGCAAATTCTCACAACCGAGAAGCTGGAACTAGGACCAAGAAAGAAAACTACACACATCATGTTGAAATAGTAACACAAATGTGGAGTCACACTCGGCAACATGCAGAGATGTACGTCGGCATTGTTCAAGAACCACATTTAGCAAATCGCACTATTAATTATATCTACATTTCAATTTGTCCTTCCCTGGAACCAAGGCGAACACATCCAGCAAACCCATTAAAACTGCACCGCATTTGAAAAGACACAGTATAGAGCCGAGTATCACAAACACTCGTCTCCCCTGAGCAGACACCGACTCACAAGCAAAAACATCAACAAAACCTCCAAAAACGTCCCGCTTTCGCCTCATCGCTGCAACAATGTGGGAGTATTTTTAGTCAGCCTTCCTTGCAGAAACCTAGCTAGGTTATAATTACTGAGCGCTTTGTGACTGCCATGTGACAGAAGTACTATTGGTAGAGCACTGGAGAGCCAAATATAGTCCCAGGAAGAAAAGAAAAAAAAAAGAACGAGGGTCCTGGATTGAGTAAAAAAAAACAAGAGCAAAGATAACTCTGATTACCGAGTGGTGGTCCAGATAAAGCCTTATCAAAAGGTTTGGGTGCCGCTTTCAGAGGCTACGGATGTTCTGGTCGAGCGCTACAAATAGACGAGCTGGGTTTCAGGTCCAGTGAAATCTGCGGTTTGGTTTGGTTTCTTCAATTTCCTCCCAGAACGGCTCTCTGCTGGCATCAAGGATCGTTATGTGATGTGGTCATTTTGTCAAATTTGTAGATTTGAGGGAGAACAGGCCACCAGTGTGTCTGTGCACAATACATTTATTATGGTTTATTATTTGTTATGAATTTGTCGCTTTGCTTTTTCCACTTCAGCGTCTGTTCCAAACTATCGAACCACATTAATCCAGCTGTGACTTCACGTTTATCTTTTACTTGTCCACGCCAGTTTGTACTTAATTGGCAGGTTGAATAAAAAAGGGAATCTACTGTCTGGACTATTAAAGTCTCTCTGTCTGTGCAGCGGGGTTGTCTCTGTATTTAGCCAAAATAGACTGTACTCGTCCTGCAGGCCAGTCTGTGTTGCTATGTATAGTCTTTGTTGAGGACAGTATCACTTGACTTGGCCTGGTCTTTCTGTGGCATTGGACTCATCTTTCCATAAAACACAGACGGAGGCATGAATATACACACCTCCGGGGGCCTCAGGCCTTGGCCCCCACGTGGTCCGGGGGTCACATGTTGCTGCCCATTGAGCAGAAAAAGGGGGCAGAGGGAAGATGGTGGTGGTGGTACAGCAGCGGGGGGGGGCATTAAAAACGCTTGACACAGGGACATGGGTCACCCAGCTCCACGGGGGGCTTCTCCCTGAACCACAACACTGATACAAGCTCTCGCACCATTAGGTCGCTTTCATAGAGCCAAAACAAACAAATAAACAAACAGGCCGAAATACAAATAAAGCTACAACTAGAATAAAGTAGCCAACTGGAAGTGAAGTGAACTAATCAGTAACAACTTCATCCAAATATTGTAAACAATCTGAATTCATCAAGACAACACAAAACTAGGGCCAGTTGTGGATAAAATGAGGGTGAAAAGTTACAACAATGCCGAAATAAAGACTGGAAAAAGTCCCCTCCAACAGACCGGCAACCTTCACACCAACCAACAGCTCCCAGCCTCATGTGCTCATTTGATAATTGGGTTGACTTTTTACAAATAGTGGACCATCTTTAATTAGCAGTGCAGAGGATCCGATCAATAGTTTCCATATTTTGAGCGGCTCAGGCCAGCACTCGGGCCAGCATAATGGACTTTCACTTTGGTCTCCATCTGACTGGTGACAGTGCTTTAAAACTCACTGCTAGACATGGCAGCAGCCCCACCACGCTCTATTCAAATGTTTTTGTTAATGCCCAAACATATCTTTCACTACAGCTCATTTTGTATTTTTTTTTTTATTGTTCCATGACCAAAGAGAACAATCCATGACATTAATTTAGAATAAATAGGAAAGCAACCGGAGTATGAGCAGCGATTTCAAACATCGCTGAATGAAAATACAGAAGAGCATCACCTTAAGGAAGTTAAAGTTCCTGACGGTAACTTTACGTTAAACGGCATCACTGTAGCGACCACACTGTTTGACAAGCAAATTACCTCCGGGAAGTGCAAAAGCAGAACCATGACAGGAACAACAATGACTGCTCATTATTAAACAGGACACTAAATAAACAGATTTAAAAAGGAACAGGAAAAACATTTCAATCATCAAATGAAATCATCTACGGCTTTAACCAACAATTACTTTCAATATCCATAAATGGGCGATTCATTTTTAACACTTCGTCTGTAAAATGCCAAAAAAAATTCCGACCAACAGTCCAAAACACAAAGATGTTCGGTTTAAAATGATATAT